TCAAAACTTTACTAGCGAGACTGGTTATCCAGTCGAGAAAACGTATTGTGTGTCTCATCTGGCCATACAGCGGTGGGATGTGTTGACAATCCGTTCAGTCTGTACTTCACACAAGGTCGTGACATGTGAGGGCTCGCGCTCTTCAGAGACAATCACAGAATATGACAGAGCTTGTGTTTTAAAGCAAAACAGAATGAATAATTCACTTAAAACGCAACACGAGTCTCTGTTCTCTCTGCAATCTCTGATGTAATCAGCCTGGTTTCCTTTATATTAGTGCTGTTTTGGACGGATTGTTTGAATGCATTCGCTTACTGGATCATTGGACTGAAAACTTTCCCGGAGTTTAGCAGCTTAAAATGATCTGATCGCAAGCAGAGAAGCAAAATTGGGTTAAAGGGTTAGAATAGAAATTGTGCTTCAGTAATTTTGCGTTAATGGAGTTAAATTATTTTAACGCGTTAAGGATTGTAAAATTAATCGCATGCGTTAACGCATTCACGTTGACAGCCCTAATATATATATATATATATACAGTATATACATATATAATTATTAACATATGTACCAGGCGGCTTCTTTATTAGGGCGATAGGTCGATGCACCACCAAAAAGGGAGGGATTTTTTTCTATCACATTCAACCACAGTGTTACGCTAGCTGTCACTGTACTAGACTGTTTGTTCTACCTCTGGATATATAGTCCAATCAGCGTCAAGTCACATTATGTGGAGTAACGCCCCTTTTTGGGCGATTTCAAAAAAATGTTTTAATTTATCTTGAAAAAGTCTTGCAGAAAATGTAGTTTTGTGAGAATCATCCTCAAACTTAATCTTGAACTTGGTAAAAATTATCTTTATTTAAAATGTTTCAAGTCTTAATATTTTCCTTTTGTTATACTGAGATAAATCATACTGGGATGTATGCAAAAATTGTTGTGTGTGGCCCTACCTAGAAAATTTTCCAATATGTACATATAGAGAATTTACTATAGGGATTTTATATATGTTATAAACTTGGATCACTTGTGTTCATACCCAGAGAATGTATGGATGTGAAAATTATATAGGTAACATACATGGCAATATCGCTCTTTGATATAGGGCAATATACAGTATGTCACATATCCATATGGGTATACATCAATATGCTGTTTTACTTATTTATTTATAACAATTCATTTTCATATTTTAAAATTCTGTTAGACTGATGACTCAGTGCACAGATAATATGGTGCAGTCCTGTAGTATTTTCCTAATGCAAACTACGACCCATGAAAGCTAACTAACTGCCTAAATTTCCAGGCGCAGCACGACTCTATCAGCACTAAAAGCTGCCTTAACACCTAAAGGCTGTACCCTGGTGTTCCAAAGACATCCATGCCAGGGCTCCTGAGTGCTTGGCATTTTAAGCTCTGCCCACCCTGGCTGTCAGCAGCATGCAGACGCTTTGTTTGCACTAAAAGCGCTGCACTCAGACAGAGAGGAACATCAAACCCTTGGCTCTGGCTGGTTTAACCCAGGGAGACTGGCTGGGCTTTCATATGCCCAGACTGAGCCACTCATCGGTTCTGAGCTCAGCTGCTCTGATGACACCTAGCATGTGGGAGTGCAGGCGCTGTCCTGCCTCTAATAATAGGGCCCACACTCATTGTGGAAGATGGGAGCTACACAAAACAGACACACTTTCTCCTTCAGAAGATGAAAGGGCTGCCTGATGAGGCGCTGCTAATTGAGGCTGTTTGAGTAGTGGTTTTGTGCTTTGAAAATACGGCCTGCTTTTCTCACTCCTGGCTCGAGATTAGAAAGAAGTCCGGCACTCCTTAGACGGTGAGTTAGGCTTGAGGGCCATTACCTGCCCAAAGCAATTCCTGAAGGACCTTAAGTGCTGAGACTGTGGGTTTTAGACCAGTTCTGTGGCGCCAATTTGACTCATTTCAGAGGATTTTTAGGGTGAGATACTGTATACACAAATTCAGCCATCTGCTGTTTACAAGGTCCCTGCCATACTAAATGGAAAATAATATGGTAGACGAAAAGTGGCTACCTTTTTGAAATGGATCATAACTGACACCTCGCTGAGCCCAGCAATAAAAATATTATTGACCAATCTTACCTTAGAAACTGTTGCCATTTTCAAGAACTTTCGGTTTTATGTCAGTCTACAGAGGATCTCTGTGTTTGGATAGTTTCAAAGAGTAATTTCAGAGAAATTATCCAGAACTATGGTCAAATGTTATTGTCGGATCACTTACAATAAGCAAAAGGTATGGATACAAGCCTTCTTTTGTTATTATTATTATTATTAGTGTGTGTGTGTGTTATCAGCTGGAATTGCTTTTGAAGTTTTTAAAATATGGAGCAGAAATCTCTAGTTTATTCCTGGGGTGTTCTGTAAAGGTTTTCTGAGTGAGCGAATGGTTTATTAGTTTAGGGTATAATGACACTTTACAAGAAAAATAAATAAATAAATAAATAATCTCACAACATGAGTGCTGAATGGGTTTTACATTTCAACACCTACCAATTGTTAATTAAATACAGTAATTGTTTGTATAAATATGCTGTTTGTGGTATCAGAATACTATTAAGATACCGTAATACATATTAGTAGACTCTTTTGTTCACATAGGCTGAATTTATTTGATCAAAAATACAACAAAACAATAATACAGTGAAATATTATTAAAGATAAATATAGCTGATTTCTATTTTAATATATTTTAAAATGTCATTTATTCCCGCAATGGCAAACATGACTTTTCAGCAGCGATTTTTTTTAGAGCCATGATCCTTTAGAAATCATTCTAATATGCTGATTTGGTGCTTACAGGGGTCATATGATGCGATTTCAAGTTTTCCTTTCTCTTTGGAGTGTTACAAAAACTGTAAAGTTGCAAAGACTAAAGTCTCAAACCCAAAGAGATATTCTTTATAAGAGTTGAGACTTGTCCACGCCCTCCTAAAACGCCTCGTTCAAACACGCCCCCACATGTCTATGTCACGATGTGGGAATATTTGCATAACACCGCCCAAATGTTCACGCAAGAAAGAAGGCATAACTTTGATTCTCGCTGTAGTATTGTTGCCACCGCCATGTCATGGAGACACTGTGTTTCGTTATGAAAGCGAAACTACTTTGTATGGCCTTCCAAAAGAGGACACAACTAGAAATTAAGTTGTATTTACAACACTGTTCCAGAACAGTTCAACCCTAATATTAAGATATGAGCAACGCATTTTACAGAGGACGAGGACTGTTTCCTGGGAGAGTAGTGTTTTTTTAACCTTAAACCTTAAATCTCATTACACCAAATACACAAAATAATGTTTTTTTTAGCAACATCACATGACCCCTTTAATTTCTTATTATTATCAATGTTGAAAACAGTTTTGCGGTTTAATATTTTTGGAAGCTTTGATAAATTTTTTCAAGATTCTTTAATGAATATAAATCTCAAAAGAACTGCATTTATTTGAAATATAAATTTTTTTGTAAAATTGTAAATGTCTTTACTGTCACTTTCGATCAATTTAATGCACCTTTGCTGAATAAAATAATTAATTTCTATCAAAAAAAGTCTTACTGACCTCAAACTTTTGTACAATAATGTACATGTATAAAAAAAAAAAAACATAAAACGCCTAACATTTCTTTTGGATGTCTACCAGGGATTAAGAGCTGCTAATATCTCCAGAACCCCCTCTCATCGACCTACTAAATAAACGGTCACGTCCCGTCTGGCCAACAGCTGAGGCAAGCACTTCTAAGCTTCCAACATCCCAACCAGAAGAGACATCCACTTAATGGAGGGGCATTATTAAACATGAGGAACGCTGATTGTATCGAGTTCTTTCCTCTCATCAGGCGGGCCGTCAGAGGCAGCAGAGAGAAAGTGAGGTTGGCTCTGTGCTTGTGGAGCATCAGGTATTAGTGAATGCAAGATGACATCTGACACTGAAGTGTCCTCGTGTTGCTGCGCAAGTGGCTTTCAACAGGCACCAAAGCATCTTTTCACCTCATTTGCTTTGCAGGTTCCAAATTCAACAGTCACCACAACCCATATAACCCTGAATTTCTGCCACTCACCATAGATGCTGACATGGAAATGGAGCTGAAGCGCATTAAAAAGCTTTAAACAGTTGTTATAAATAGACCTGTTCGACCTTAATCCTGTTCGACACTAACACCATAAATGCAGGGAAATTAAAATTGCTGAGTTGAATACATATTCCCTGCTGACTTCACACCTGCCTTTCATTCATAAATCAGGTATGACGGATCATTTTAGAAGTGCTTTAATGTTTACGAGATTACGAGTCAGTGTGTAGTGTGTATGTTTGGGCATAAAAAGATCTACAAAGTTATAAATCTCAAAAAATGTATTAAGTCCACTCCAAAGGGAGATATTTAATTTTTTTAAATCCCTTTTCAAGAACTACAACGAACGGCTCGTTTGGACTACAGCGTTTGTTTTCCGGGGTACTGTCATGTCACAAAGCGGTCCATTAGAATATCATTAAAATAATTCCTGTCTACGGAAATTCAAATGGTTGGGGGGTGGGGAGGGGCGAGGTCGTGGTTAGAACGCTTAGTTGAGTGCATCAGACAAGACCAGGACGAAGAAGAAGAAGAGCTGCTGTAGCGTCAAGTGACAGTACAATACTGGATAATTATGTAATCTGCAGAATTTACACTTCAATTATGAGAGTATGGTATAAATAAATTCAACTGTATAACAGTTTCACTGCAATTCATGTTATAACTTGCAATATCCATGCGTGCAAATGTTCTGCGTGATCCTCCTGTTCAATATTAGGACCCTCTTAGTTCATAATAGCACCCCTTTAATTAATCTCAGAGAAAATGTTAGTGTTCAATAGCCTTAGTATTTTTGGTATTATCTTTTCTTTCTCACATTGAGAAAACAAGCCGAAACACAAAAACTGCATAAATACAGTTGATGAATAGTAAATACGTTACATAAAGACTATGACTCACCCCTCTCGCTGTGCTTCTCCTCTTTCCAGCTCCTGAATGACCCCCAGCAGCACTTTGATGGTTTCTTGACTAGAGTTGATCAGAGCCTCCATGGCTTGAAGCCTAGCTTTCACATTCCCATTGGCCCCAGGGAGAGCAAACAGATGCCCCTGTGTGCCCTGCCGGGTCTCTGCGGTGCCCAAGTTTTGGCTACTGTGACAGTGGGCCTGTATGTGGGCCTGGGAAGCGCAACTCGCAGAATGAGGCAAAGCCTGAGACTGCGCCTGCAATCCGTTCAGCTGCGCCGTGTCTTTTTTGCGTTTGCAGCTCCCTGAGGGACTCTCCGGGCATTCCACTTGTGTCAAGGATGTCCATGCAATAGGGCCAGAAATCTTTGAACAGTCACCCCTGACCTGCAGAGGTTGAGTCAGCTTGGTTGAGGAGGCACAGTTGGGCTGCGGGCCTGCCCCTGCCTCGCTTTCACTGGGTAATCCTTTGTGCTTGGCACCACTCCCCGGGACGTTGGTGTCTCTCCTTGAGTCTGACTGATCTAAAACCGTGTCTGACAGATCAGGGCAGAGTTTCCCATCCGAACAGTCCGGCCCAACACACAAGTCCTTAGCGTCGCTGCACTGCGGCGTAGTGTGGAGCAACACTCGGGTCTGTTGCACCCGTCCGTCACACCTTGTCCCCCGTCCCCCCCCCTTCACGTCACTCAAAAAGCCATTGTTTTGATCAGGGTAGTTCTCCACTAGAGCGGTGTGTTTGATTACTGTTCCCTTCTTGCGCTCGAAGGGGAAAGTCTGGTAACGCTTTTTCAAGTCAGGCGAGGTTTGCACGCCCGTGCTCTTGGTGACGTTCGGGATGGAGCGGCGAGCCGGCATGGTCATGTACCTCCGGTGGATGACCTTGCAGGAAACAGAGCGGTCTCTGGCACCTCGGTGGGCAGCCTCATTCTGCGCCTCGCAGATGTCTTTAAAACGCACCTGCAGGGCTTTGTTTCGCTTGCGTACCACGTCTGCTCCGCTCCGCTCCAGCAAAGGACCGCCAGACTCCGAGTCAGACTCTGAGCTTGACAGAGTACAGCAGCCTGCCTCCTTACTGACCATATCTCCTGCGGGAGAGAGCAAGAGAGAGAGGAGAAAGAATGAGGAACAGCGAGAACGTTTACAGTTAATAAAATGGCAGTGATTGCAGCTCAAGCACAGATGGCCTAGTTTTGTCTTTTCCTCAGCGCACAACATCCTGGCAGTCAAAGCTTGGGGGGTTTTTGTGTGCGCGTGTTTTGTTTAGCAGTGGAAGTCACAGCTGACACAGAGCGACCTGCATTCATGCTCTCTCATTACACTAAGGCTTCATCTCTCTAATGAGGCTGCCAGTACATGGAAGATGGGGGCTGAAGCACAGACTGCCAGCGAGACGGAACAGGGCCTTTGAGTCATCAGATATGAAATACAACTCAACACTTGATGGCAAATACAGACACACATGATAACATGACACCTGAATTAAGAGGAACAAAATGGTGTAAACGTCAGCAATCAAAGATGTGTGTGCAAGTGCATAAGAATGATTCATATGAGTTTTTGCTATTGTCACTTTTTCGCAGTTTGGATCAGAATAAGTTGTTCATGCACAGAAAATTCTAATGGATGGTGTGTGCGCGCTAAAAAAATGCTGCTTTACCAGTCGGTGGCCCGTGAATAATTTGCCAATTTGCTTTCCATTTCAACTATTGCTGTGCAAAACTCACTGACAGTGCTTGGGTGAGTGGTTGCCAGAGCAATGCTATATGGTTGCAAAGGTGTGCTAAGTGGTTTTGATGCATTGCTGCATGGTTGCTATGGTGTTCTTGATGGTTTCTGGTAGGGATGTAACGGTATGAAAATTTCCTATCATGGTTATAGTGACCAAAATTATCACGGTTATCAGTATTATCACGGTATTGTTAAAATGTGCTGGAGATGTTCAAAAAGTACTGATACATAAATCAACAAACAACAAATAAAATGACTTTTTTGTTTGCATAATCACTAAAACAATAACATTACCAATGATGTTCGGATTTTAAATGACAACTTGACTGACAACAGTTTATCTAATAGCATGTTCAAATATCTAATGTAAATGTTCAAATAAAGCTTTGAAAAAGTTTCATAAAAAGGTAAACCTCACATTTCAGCCTTTAAATAAAGAAAAGAGTTAAGTCAAAATGATAATTGATTAATAAATGATTATATGTATTTATCTGCTCCATAAATAATACTAGATACCTTATTGTTTAAATGTGTAGAATCCACATAAGCTTGTTTTTCATCAACTGGTCAAAATTTACAGCAGGGCATGCAAACTCGGTCCGTTTTTGGCAAGACAGAAACTGCACACAGGCTGAATGTAAATATAAGTCTCAGTAAATCCAGCAGGTGGACAAACTAACAAAAACATAAAAACAACTGCGGAGCACGCCACGGAGGCAGCCATCAGCGTCACTAACCGTGGGGAATTTTATCACGATTTATCGTCAAACCGGTAATCGTTGCATCCCTAGTTTCTAGGGCATTGCTAAGGTGTTATGTTTGGTTGCTTGATAGCCCATGTCAAAAATATGCACAACTCAAAGTGATATTCTGGGGCGGGTGCACCACAAGCATACATGTTACTTAACTTGGCGTAAATGGCCACTAGGATACAGTTTGCTCACTACTAAATATTTGAAAGCTGTGCCATTAAACTTTGAAAGGAAAAAGTTGAAGTGTAACCCTACATATACAATAAAAAGTAAATCATACAACCTGGAGTTACATTTGGAATAAAATGGCAGAGCAATTGAATCCCATGAATAAGCTCATGTTTTCCAGGACAGACTTCAGTGCTTTAGATATATATGATGTTGTTGACATTTACACTCATTTATAGTTTAAGAGAGAGAACATCATTTGAACAAATGACATTTTAGTGGCAGTCAAAATAAGAAATACAGAAACGTCAAAATTTCCAATTTGTTGTATTGATATTAATTTATTTGAGAAT